AGATATGGATGGATAGACAGAGAGACAGATATGGATGGATGGATGGATGGATGGATGGATAGAAAACTATATAATCTTATTCAATTAAATTAGATAAGAACATGGAGTTGGCTAATAGAAAGTCTAAATTGGCCATTGTTTTTTTTCTTTTTTCCTCCCTAGATCTCATTCTCTACCAAGATGACATCCGCCGCCATGAATATCCTCCTTTGTCTGTTGATTGGTAAATGTTCTTGCCACTCTTCTTCACCTTTGGTCTCCTCTAGGGTAGATTTAGAGTATTCTTGGGAATCTGTCAGGCGCAAAAGGTCAGGTCCACCCAATTAAATTGATTTATTGCCTATGCAATAAATCCCAGCTTCCCAGCTAACAATTAGCACTTGGAATTAGATATGGTTGAGAGGAATTTATGTCTGGTTGGAAATAGTTTAGTTTGCTTGTGGCTATGTAAGGATGCTAGGCAGATCCCCTTTTAACTCCACCTCCAGGGCAGAAATTGCGACCTGCATTTTTCTCATCACTTGATAATATTTTTTTTTCATCTCATGTTTGCAGGTTTCCCTGTTCTGAAGGGAAGTGACACTACAGGTGAGTAACTTCATAGGCTGAGGTCTCGTGGCTTCCTACAAACAGGGCAGAAGTGGGACCTCTTCGAAATAGCAATAGCACAGACTTATATACCACTTTACAGTGCTTTACAGCCCTCTCTAAGCTGTTTACAGAGTCAGTCTCTTGCCCCCAACAATTTTGGGTTCTCATTTTACCCACCTCGGAAGGATGGAAGGCTGAGTTAACCTTGAGCCTGGTGAGATTCGAACTGCCAAATTGCAGTCAGCCGGCAGTCAGCAGAAGTAGCCTGCAGTACTGCACTCTAACCACTGCGCCACCGTCATCGTGAAAAATTAGATCAGGGACCATCTCATGGATGCCTTCTTGATTTGTCAACCTCTAATCATTTATTATATGGAAATAATTTAATAAATACTGCACTACTTTAATTCATAGCACTATGAATAATGATTTACAACCCCTTGGATATCCCATTGACAGTTGGGGAGGGGTCAATACTGACCACTTTCCAAACATCACCTTCACTGCTGTTGTGTATGCTGGCTTGTATAGTTAAGTGTTGTAGCTGAGCAATATTAGGGAAGCTATTAATTGTCCACTCAAGAATAAAGCAGGGTTCATACCCTTGCAATGTTTTCGTCTGCATTTAAACAAAGAATGATGAACATATTTGGAACTTTTGATTTCTGTCTTAAGCCTAAAGATATTTACCTATGTAGCAGGCTGGGTTGCTATTATCCTTCTCATCTTCTCATCTCTCCCCTATAGTTATGTATGATTATCGCTTGTGGTTGTTTCTTATGATTAATGATTGTAACTGTGAGACAAGTTCCTTCTGTGTCCAATCACACTCGGCCAATCATGGATTCTGTTCTCTTGTATGCAGCTGGGAATCCTTTGCCACTTGCCTAGCTAGAGTTTCAGATCCCAAGCAAACAGAATGTTAACTATCTTTCTTTTCCTTTAGCAAATAAACCCGACCCCTTTAATTATGGTAAGTATATCTCATTCTCTGCAATGTTTTAATAGCATGTGGGTGGATGTTGGGCTTATAAAAAGGAGGAAAAAAATATGGGGAAAGATTGTACCCCATAATAGCCTGTTTTCCCTAATCCATCCACCCCTGTGGCCTATTTTTGTATGCATCTCCTTCAAGGATGTTATTTTTTCTTCCTTTCCACAAAAATGGTCCCTAAACACGGCCATTTTCTTAGCCAAGTGGAATTCTTCAGCCCAAGGGGAAAGCTGTCCTCACCCCATTTTTTTCTTGTGAAGTGGGCAGTATTGAAGTGAGCAAGACAGACTTTGCGGCTAATCTGAACAAGTCTCCATGGTTTCTTTTCTCTTCTAGATTGGAAGTCGCTCCGTATTAGTGGTATGGTCTGTGCAGGCGTTCTGTGTTTTCTGGGAATTGCTGTCCTCCTGAGTAAGTGGAAAACGACAATGAGGGGAAAGAGAACAATTTTGGATGATGGGGAAAATGCTGTGTGTTTGTTTTTCCGTTTGGTCTTTTTTTCTCTCTCTCCCTCCTCTCCCATTCCTCCCCCTCTCCTGCTCTCTCCCTCCCTCCTTCTCCCTCCCTCCCTCTCCTTCTCTCTTTCCTCTCCCCCCTCCTTCCCTCCCTCCCTCTCCTTCTTTCTCTCCTCCTGTCTACCTCTCTCCCTGCCTCCCATTCTCTCCCTCTCTAATTCCCTCCATCGCTCTCCTCTCCCTCTCTTTCCCTCTCTCCTCTCCCCTCTCTCCTCCCTCCTTCCCTCCCTTCCCTCTTTCTCCCTCTCCTTCCCTCCCTCTCTCCTTCCCTATCTCTCCTCCTTTCTTTCTCTCCCTCCCTCCGTCCCTCCCTTTCTCTCTCCCCCTCTACTTCCCTCCCTCTCGTCTCCCCTCTCCCCCTCTCCCTCCCTACCTTCCTTTCTCTCCCTCCCTCTCTCTCTATTTACAGTTGTGAAACCAAAGAGAGGCCTGCTATTTTTATAAGTAATTTTTAGCAATAGCAATAGCAATAGCAGTTAGACTTATATACCGCTTCATAGGGCTTTCAGCCCTCTCTAAGCGGTTTACAGAGTCAGCATATT